ATTGCTAGGTGCGACTCTTTTGTCATGCTATTTTTGACCTCGCGCAGCCAGGCATGTGAGCAAAATGGCTCCGTGCATCGTTTCTACCACGTCCTTTATGGTTGCATCCCACGCATAAGACGGGATCCTACTGACTATCCACGCTTGGCCTTTTGGCATACTGCAGTAGTCTAGGCAAAATCCTAGTATGGTCGGATGTGCAATGCTACCTTTCCGGCATTCTGATTCTCGATTAGAGGTGGCCCCCTTTGTCCATCCACAACAGAATTTGGTTGGCTCCATTAAAATTCCGTACAATCAACAGAATCCGTGGGCGGGCCACAGAGAGAAAAAGTGTCTAACAGAAATGGGCGGGGCCATGCTGACGTTAGCATAGACGGCTACAAAGATCCACACAACCTTCCAGAATGGAACCACGTGTTACAGAATCTACGCCGCAGCCCACGGATAACAAGCCCCCCATAACGGAATTGTTGACAGGACCACAGAGGTTGACAGAATTCCATCAACGTTCACGGAGCAACATAGACCTTTCAAACATGATGAACCCCAGTACAGAAATTCCATATGCATGGCAGACGTGGTGTGCGATTGCTTGGGTCTTTGATAGATTTGGCAGTGCACACTGCTCGCCCCCGTGGCACATCCATGTGCCCCTTCAAATCGTTGTTGTCCATCATGCATGTAGAATGTATGCCCAAAGCGTTCCCAAGCCCAGTATATTCGATTGGCTGGCATGTGATGTGATGCCCCTGGGGTATGTGAAATGCTGCGTCGGGGCCGCCCGCCGCCCATTGCCCCTATGGCTTCGGTATCCTCAGGTGAGTGGTGATGGCGGGGTGGGGTGGGGGGTTGCTGTTCTGCTTGGCTGGAGTACCGGCCGCAGCTTGGCCGGGAAAAAGCCAGTGTTACTGGCTCGTGGTGTGCATGGGCGGTTGTTGCTTCTCCGAGATCGTGTTGGGGTGGGGCGGGGGGTTGCTGTTCTGCTCGGCTGGAGTACCTGCCGCGGCTTGGCCGGGAAAAAACCAATGTTGCTGGGCTCATGGTGTGCATGGGCGGTTGTTGCTTCTCCCAGATTGTGTCGGTGTAGCCCGGGAATTGCCGCTTTGTTCGCTGAAGCATCGCCGCCGCTTGGCCAGAAAGCCGCCGCTGCTGTGGCTCTCGCGGTGTCCATGGGCGGCCGCCGCTTGTCCGACATCGTCGTGGCTGGGCGAGGGGATTGTTGTTCGGCTCGGGCTGGAAGTACCGCCGGTTCCGGCGCAGAAAGTTCACCGCCGGGCCGGGTTCGGGCAGCGGTGCATGGGTGGTCGGTTATCCGGTGATCGTGTCGTGGCGGTAAGGTGGGGATTGTTATTCTCGCCGGCTAGAGTAATCGCCGTGGTCCGCCGGAAAGCCACCGTTGCCGGGCTCGCTGTGCATGGGTGGTCGCTGTTTATCCGAGATCGTCGTAAGCAAGCGCGTGGGGGTTGCTATTCCCCGGGCCGGGTCGGAGTACCGCCATGGCTCGGCCGGGAAAAGCCCATCGTTGTCGGGTTCGGCAGGCGCATGGGTGGTCGCCGCTTATCCGGTGATCGCGGTCGTGGCAGTGGCGGGGATCAGGCTTTGCTCGGCCGGAGTACCGCCGCGGTCCCGGTCAAGTAACGCCGCTGTTGCCGGGTTCGGGCAGCGGTGTACGCCGGGTGGTCGCTGTTTGCCCGCGTCGCGGTCGCATGGGCGATTGTTATTCTCGCTTCTCGGCTGGAATACCGGCCGTGTCCTGGCTGGGAAAAGGCTGCTATTTCCGGCCTGGCTGTAGAGGGTTATTGGTGGGAGCGTACATGCAGCGCCAAGGGTGGGAAGGCCGCCGCGCAGGGAAAAAGAAGCATAGAGGGAGCATGGGAGCACGCACCAGGATATCGAGGCGTTCAATTGGGCGCAGGAAGCTAGCGTCCAGGACATCATCGAAGACCACATCAAAGTCCAAGGCATCACATGACATACCATGAGAAATTTCGTTATAATTGTTGCGAGTGAATGTGTCCATTTGGCAAAGGATTATTAGCCATTCATTACCGCAGCGGGCGATCATCTTAGAACTATGGGTGTTGGCAAGTGTTCATGTGTGCTCTAGCGCGTGGCGGGTTGCGCCTCTAGTCAAGCAAGGAGTACCGGCCATGGGTTGGCTGGGAAAAAGCAGCGAGGGATTGCCGTCGGGCCCAGGGTATGTTAATAACTGTGACGTGGCTGCTTGGGGTTTCGGCTTATTTGATATTTCTGGAGTGAGAATTACGTAATTGGCTAAATCGACCTTTTGGGGACGTTATTAAGAGCTTCCTGGTTCCAATGAGCTTTTAAACGCCCGATTCCGTTAAGAAACGGCGAAGATATGGCCTCATGAAGTCGTAGTACTTAGGGCCAGGGGGTCGGGTGTTAGACGCTTGGAATTAGAGGACAATGGGTCGATCGTAGATGAACGGTGGACGGTGACGATGTGCCTGGACGCGCACTTGTCTTGTCTTGTCATGATGTGACTGCGATGGACCCGCGATTGGGCATCGCGCATGCGATATGTGCGCGCGCATGCTATGAATCCATGTAACTGTTCTGGCCCACTCTCTGGCCTCCCGCGAGCCAGCGAACCACCGCCTCGCTGCGCCGCCACCACTCGCCGACAGCAGGCCCCGGGGATCGATCCCCGTCGAGCATTGGGCCCACCGCGCGACCAAGGAAACGACTGCCCCGGATACGCCCACCATCCGAGGTGGAGAGCGCCGGCTGACCTCCAACAGCCAAGCCGCAGGGCAGGGCGACCCCCACGACTCCAGAAACCAGCGGCTGCCAACGGGGCCGCAACAATAACAGTAGTCTAGCGTTTGCAAGGGATGGCCGGGAAAGAACAACAGGTTGCGTCCCCTGTCTGGCAAGGAGTACCGGCCGAGGCAGCATCTATGTATATTTATTTATTCATGCATATTTTTTTATGACAGCGTGGACTGCAAATAGGTAGACATGCGTTGTTTAAACATGTTGAAATATTGGAACTCGTTATGTCACTGCTGTGGCCCGAATCTGAAGGCAAAGGTTGCTAGACATAGAGAAAAAATCCGTTTGGCAAAAATTGCCTCCAACAGAAACCGCTGCTGACCAACATAACACTACCGGAATCTCAAAGCCGCTGACGGATGGCAACGGAATGCCAGAAAAGGCAGCAGAAAAAAAACGCTTTTACAGAAACCGCTAGCCGCAAACACCCCCTTGACGGATAGCTCCAGAGCCAAAAAATTGAAAGCTGACATGGCATGAACGGCTACGGAAACCTGGCCCCGGCAAAGTGACGGAAAATCGATGGACCGATTGTTTGTGTTCAAAAAAGTTACAGAAGTAAAATAACAGAAAAAAAGCTGGGTGGCCACGTCTACTCTCGATGCTACCCCGTCTATCCCACTCAGTCAATGCAGCCTCATTCACATGATGTTCCATGGATTTTGTGGCACTTTCCTAGGCCCAAAATGCCCTGCACTGGGGTGTGCATACCCCTTTACAACATCTTCAGAGATGCCATTTTTCTATGACTGAAACGGTGGCATACTCGGGCCATCTCATTCAGTGAGGTCATCGGCTGTGGTTGCAAAATGAACGAGCACCATAAGGGGCAAAAATGGTTGTTCATTACAATCCATTTTCCGGTAGCTCGAACAATACCTTACAACATCTTTTTCGGTGGGTGCTATTGTCCCGACGGAGCTATTCGGTTATCTGAATAGCACCACACTTCAAAAAACCATCATTAACAGTTGGGGAGCAAAAGCACCCCAATAGCGCCCCCAGAGCTATTCGGCTCCGAGCGGCGCTATTTTGGCCCCGAATAGCACCGCTCGGGGCCGAATAGCACCCCAGAATAGCACCGGGGCTATTAGCGCAGAATATTGCAGTGCTGCTGTGATGCTATTCGGCATAGCACCCACCATTGCGACTGCGCGTAGGGGAGCAATAGCACCGGTGCTATTCGGCAAATGCCGCCCCAGTAAGGTAGCACGGCAGCCAATGAGAACTGCTCCTGGATAACTCCGCCGGTGCAAAGCACCGACCGATAAAGATGCTCTTAATGCATTTTGTGCACTTGTGCCTGGCAATTGCCGCGCTGCTTCCAGCGGTTTCGTTACGACACCAAAAAACGATTGCCGCGCTCTGGTCTGTGCCTTTGTCCTGCCTTGTCTCAACTTCAGGCAAACTCTCCAAGCCGCGGCGTGAGGCACGGCTGTACAGAAGACAGCACCCTGCCGCCCTCGGTGCTTCAGTGCTTGCGCGGGAGCGGTAAGCCCGGCATGGCTTCGACCATGAGTCGCCCCGGCCTTGAGTGTCGCTGGCGGGTCTTTGTGCTGTCCATTTGCCGTCACGGTGGTGTCTTTGCGACATGCAGCGTCAATTATCGATACTGAGTACAGCTGATTGGGGAGGCAGGAGGATTTTGCGAAATTTGTGGGCGGGTGGGGCATGAGGACACACAGCAGTCCAACAGCAAAGTGATGGAGGTTGCCAGCACTTCCAAGGAATTTTTTGCTATTAGCCAGACTTGCTTGACCCAGGCAATCAGCCCGAAGCCCAGATGGTCCACTGTCTATGCATCGCTAGGCGAAATGATGCCTGTGCTCAGAACATGTTTGTGAGCATAATTTTGCTGCGCCAGGTGGAGTTTCAGGGGTGAGCGGGCCAGTGGCAGCACGCCCAAGCCACAAATACAAGTACGTGCGTCTATCCTTCCCTGCTGGCCTGCGAAATTTCCGGAGAACGCATGCCAATGCAGTGGGTTGGAACTGTCAGAAATGATGCAGAAGCCCATCGGCTCATCAGGAAAAAGCAAGCCAAATTAGTACAGTAGAAAACAGAAAGGTCTTCGTAGCTTGTCCTGCCTTGATTGATTGTTTGTGCCTGTCTCCTGCTGTGATTGGCTGTCGGCTGCTAGCTGTTGCCGACAAGGTCTGACTGTTGCCAGTGTTGTGCAGCAGGTTGACCGTACATCCATGAGTTGGGGCACCCTGCCTTTTCACTTGCTGGACATGGTGGAGAAAGTTGGCACTGGCATGGGCAGGTTTGATGGCCTGGACATGATTAAATCTGTGCGTTGTGTGAATCGGCACTGGTGCGCGTGGGCCACAGAGGCAACGCGATCTGTTGCCCCAAGGCTAGGCGGGCTGCAGATGGACCAGAGGATGACAGCAATCATGCAGAAGTTCCCGAACGTTCAGTCTGTGGATTTGAGATGGTGTTGGAGAAGGGCCACTGACTGTGCCCTGGCCTGTGTGGCAACAATGCCAAAACTGACTTGTCTCGAGTGCTATGAGGCCAAAATCACGAACGATGGATTGAAGCTCCTGGGGGTTTTAGCTAACCTCAGGGTGCTTGCACTGGATGGATGCCACAAAATCACAGATGAGGGACTGCAGCACGTGGGCAGCATTTGGTCTCTGACAAGTCTGAGTTTGAAAGGCTGCTGGGGTGTTACTGATGCAGGCTTGGTTCACTTGACTGTATTGAGATGCCTAAGGGAGCTTGGTTTGCGCTGCTGCACACAGGTTAGGGATGAGGGGCTGTGGCAGTTGGGAAAGATTTGTAGCCTCACAAAATTGAACGTCACTCACTGCAGCTCTTTCACAGATGAAGGGGTGAGGGCGTTGAGGAGCCTGACGAACCTTTGCAGCCTCAGCCTATCCTCGTCTGCGTTCACAGATGAGGGCATGGGGTATTTGGCAGAGCTGGGCAGCCTGGAGGTGCTGGACTTAAGCTTCTGTGGGGAGGTCAGCAATAGTGGGATGGGGCGCCTTGCAAAGTTGTGCGGACTCAAGTGCCTGAACATTACAGGGTGTGGCATGATCACAGGTGGTGGTTTGCATATTTTGAGGAAGCTCACTGTCCTTACAAGACTCACCTTGTCTTTCTGTGGAGCGATCACAGACATGGAGTTGGCTGGGGGGTTGGCGAGCTTGAAGCATTTAGCTGAGTTGAACTTGTCAGGCTGCATCCATATCACAGACGACTGCTTGAGAGGCATGCATGCATTGAGCAGCTTGAAGGCTGTGGACGTCAGTTGGTGTTGTGTTACAGATGAAGGTTTGGCCTGCTTAGGGCAAGTGAGCTCGCTGACCAGTCTATTGGCGAATAACGTGTCCCACATATCAGACGGTGGCCTGCAGCATGTGGGTACGCTGCGCTGCTTGAGGCTACTAGGGGTGTCAAATTGCCGTCAAATCACCAAGCAAGGCCTCAAGCACCTGGAGGAGTTGGGCAGCCTCACAGACATAGATGTCAGCTGTTGTGACAAGATCACTGATGAATCTCTGTGCTACCTCGGCGGCCTTGAAGCTCTGACCAGTCTCAAATTGTCGCGGTGCAATAGGGTGACGGAGAACGGTCTCGAGCACTTGGCAGGGTTGAGGGCCTTGACAGACCTCGATTTGTCGGACTGCTCCAGGATTGATGTCACTGGTTTGCGACACCTGGAGAATCTGACGGCTCTTAGAAAGCTGAACTTGCACGGCTGCAGGGGTGTCACAGATCAGGGGATGAAGTGGTTAAGTGGCCTGACAGCACTAACGAGTCTGGTGCTGTCTCTGTGCACAATAACACATGAAGGAGTCGGACAGCTGTCGGGCTTGAGTCGCCTAAGGTACCTGGAACTCGTTGGCTGCGAGAGGAGCACAAGGAACGAAGTGAGTTCCTTGCAGGCAATACCAAACCTCACAGTGTCTTCGTCTTTTCAAGACTGAGTAGATGACTCCTGTAGAGCCATCAGTGCGATGGTGCTGACGGAAAATTGGCCCAACCTGGCATGCGTTGACAGCATCAGTGCGAGTGTGGTCGCACAGGGGAGCTAAGATAGGTTCAAAGGACACAAGGTGCACTGGCAAACAGCGTGTTGGACTCGCAGAAGCCAGTGTGCGGGGCGTAGGTATCGCTGAAGTGGCTGCTAAGGCTGAACATAGTGTGGTTTTGAGATTAATACTCATCAGGAATGTTTGGTGCTCAAACATTTTTTCCCAGGCTTCTCAACAGGGTTATTCTTCTAAAAACTTCTGAACTGAGGTGGCATGGCATCCATCTTTGATTCTTGCATTCAGAAACCCTAAGCGCGCTCAGTCAGGCACCATGTGCAGAAACTACCCAAAGTTCGCTGGATGTCAAAACCAAATTAACAATTGCTATGTTTGAAACCGTCACAAAACAGCTGCTCAAGGCACATAAACCCTACCAAAGACTGTTCAAACCAATTTGTCCTATGCACCAAGTTCTCCACCAGTAAATTGAGCTTGCAAGGAATCCAGGCTCCCGCCCTGCCCCGTCCAAGCACATTCTCTGTATTCGCGATGTGCATTGATCAACGCAATTGGCTTTCTGACCGTGGACCTTGCTGGCTCGAAACTTTTGTGATGCAGCGAGATCACAGATAGCAGTCATGCCCCACACACAGACAGCCAGAGCGCCCCTAGATACAACCCACCAACAATCACTCCCCCCTAATCTGTGTCATTTGGGGCACCCTCACTGCTTGCAGCCACTGACCATGCGTTGTGTGTGAGACATGTATTGACCCAGTCGTAAAGCAATTCCCATGTATATTGTCCTGCTCACAATCCCACCAGTTCAAAATGCGGCTGGCATCACCAGCTATGCCCTATGTGTTTGCTCCTCGAGTGTCGACCCCATGTCGACCAGCAAAGCGAATGCCCTTTGGCTATTGCCACCACAAGTTACAAGCAGTATTCCATCTCACAACACAGTGCGGGTCCCAAAATGACCAGAATGGAAGCTGCAGTGAAGCGTCAGATCGATGCCCCAGCATTCACATGTTCTGCCGTCTGTGGGTCCTCCGCATCCACTGCGGGAGCAGCAGGTTCCTTGACGATGAACTTGAGAACCGCTTGCATCTCCATACGCTGCACCCACTGAAAGAATGCGTCGAGGTAAGATCTTGCCTGCAAAGCAACACGGAACAACACATGTATCTTAACCACATTTAAAAAATGCCATTCCGTACATCTCGAGAGAGCACCAAGACAATTCTTCCAATTGGCACATTTGTTTCACCTGGTTCTCTGCAGTTATAAAGTCATTTTGGCCTGGAAACTAAACACAAGGGGAAGGAAACACAATAGCACAATTCAGCAGTGCGACAGTGCAATTCAAGTACTTGGTAACACACCCGAAGTTCTGATGGGCCCCCATTCGAAGATGCAGCTCCGGATGGGCATGGCTGGTACAAAGCTCCCTCCATCCACGCCACCAAACCCGGTCTTGTTGCAAGAATTACGTCCTGAGCGCACGAAACAATCATTGGCGGCTGTGACAATGCTTCCAGAGACACGCTGCATCACATCAGCAGTTCTACGGAAGAAATTTCTTGCAGATGTTCCACGAAAGCCCTAATGTTGGTGCAGAGAAGAAACAGATAGACATCGAAAGAGATTTGCAATGACAACTTTGCTGCCCTTCAGCAACAACGCCAGATTGTCTGGCTGCTCCCTCACAAAACATTGGTATCCTCAACTTCCTTGGCTATTGGGACACTTCTTATGCTTCCAAATATGCGGGCAACTTGCCTTTTAGATGGGCAAGCCTCACGCCAAAAAATGACTTCTCCCATCCAACATGGAGGGCAACACCACATAGTGGCACAGTGACAATGCCTACCTTTGCACTTGTACCACCAGTTCCACACAGAAAATTGAAGAACGCTGCAGCAAGGGGCGGTGCCTTGAGAAACTGAGAGTGCGAGGAATTTGACACAACAGTGAGCCATGAACCATTCCCTACTGCAGCCCAGAAATTCTCATAATTCGCTCCCACCGGATTGCAACTTCCCACTTTCTCTGCACCTGCAATCAAAGCACATTGCGCACATTGAATACCCCTGGATGCTGCGCATCATAAGCTTGGAGTATGGGCATTCCATAGCAACTAGTAGAGCCAACCGAAGGGTACGGAGTCTGGTTTTGTTACAGATCAGAAAACAGGCTAGAGACACTGCTTTCGAGACAAATCTGTCTTCATGCAATTGACTTTGCTTGTAACTTATCATCTTGTGTGTCTCTCATGCACCAGCCCATAATAACAATCATTGTGAAGGGTGCCATCTACCACTTCATCGCCCATAAATCCGATCTGCATCATAGTGTAGTGCCAAAATTTAGTCTATTGCCTGCATGATAATCCCATTGGCTAATATCTTGCCAATTGCAGAACAATGGAGCCCATCCCACCTTACATGCGTACTCTTGCAACTCCTTTGAAGAACACACTTCCAAAGGGAAGGAAGTCAACCCCAGAGATATAGAACTGTTACTGTTTCTTACCTACGATGCCAACTTGCCATCCGGAACCTGTTGCTAATGCTCTCACAGCACTTGGGTTTTCTACACTCTCTTTGCGAAACCTCTTGTCGCTGTCCACTGGATCGATCAAGTAGGCAGTCTTCACCTTTGGGTTTTCTGCAATGCACACAAACGAACAGCTAATTAGCAGACAAGGATGAGCATCAATCAATTTCAGCTTGGAATACACCTTCATATCAAAAATGCCTTGCAGGAGGGGATTCATGATCTGCAAACCACAGTTTGATTGAGAAATGTGCATCACTGTCGACTGACAGCACACAGGCCAATCGCAAGACAGCATCTTATCCATTGGCACTTGACATGCCCGTATGCAGCAAAGCTATACAAAGACAACAAAATATATGTGCCTGTGGCAGCTCACACTTCTATTGCTTCATTTTCGTAGCAGGGGACAGTACCCTGGGCTTCAACAGCTGTTGCGCTTGGCTGTTTGGCCCTTGGCTTGTGCTTTCACTGATTTAGGGACTAAAGTGCTGTTTTATAAGAATTTTATAAGAATTCAATACAAGGATACCCCAGGCAGACACTGTGCAGCATGAAACAGCAAGGGGAAATTGGGTACTGAAGACAACAAGAAAAACCCTGCAATGAGGGTGATTCAAAGCCTGATCAATCCACATGAACGGCTGCCTCGCTCTGGCAATTGCAAGCAATTGCATACCCACAGTGATTTGGGATCGTGTGAGACTAGCAGCAGCCATTGCATTGACTCGTTGACTATCCAGCAATGGCACTTCTTTTGATACTCCAGCACATCAGCTGCCATGCCACAGCCAGAGAGGAAAATACGGCTCTTGTATTGTTCATCATCTGTGAAGGTGGCAACAAACTGAAATATTAAGTCCTACGTGCCAAGTGCAGTGCCGCCAGCTTGGCTCCCCTGCTGTGCCCCGACACTGCCATCCTTTCCATGTCGATGAGTCCATGCACGAAAGTACCAATTGTATTGTGCTGGCCCTCCAGCCAGTCCAACATCTGCTGCAGGTACCTCACCTGCAGCAGCAGGGAAGACGGTGACATTCCCACCACCCAGTTGGACACAAGGGAGAGATATAACACTTGGCTGCAGAGCACATTGGTAGAAAGAAACATACACTGTTCTTGGTGAAAAATGACTTTGACTGCACAGACTGATGGAGTGCTCTGAATAAAGCCATTGCAGAAACTTCTGCAATAATCTACCTGTGCATCTATTTCTCATTGCATTCAAACCAGAGTTAAATCGTTCCTTCAAACAGCTGGGAACAACATTCCGGTGCCCCAAACGACATGACAATAACACTGCGAATACTGCAGCATTCCACACTGCAGAAGAAGACGTGACTGTTAAAACCACCCAACAACGAACCTTGCCCAACAGTACTGCAGCTGTTGGACTATTAACCTCGACGCCCCCAATACTGGACAAGTACATTGTGCCAGCTGTGAAATTGCGCCCCACCAAAGGAAACGCACCAAACGTTATGGGGAGCCGGTGCTCACCCCCTTGCCTTGATCTGTACATCTATCGCAAAATTTCTTGACTGATTGATTCACAGCATGAAAGGTGACATCTGAATTCCGCAAAGCATTCGGGGCTGCCCTGGTTTTCTGAACTGTGTTGCTGAGCAAGTCCCATCCATTACGCACGAATTGCAATGCTGCGGATCTGAAAACCGGATTCACCGGCCGACTTGCCTCCAACGGTAATTCGTGCCCCCACCTCGGCGCTGTCGGTCGGCACCACAAAGGCGGGAAGGTCATACTGGACCGTCACATAGCCCCACGAGGTCAGCAGCTCGACGTAGTCCTTGTAGTAAGTCGAGACCATCTGCAAGAGCACAGCAAACCCCAGCCGATTACGCCCGACGGCCGATCACTGCACCCGTGGCGTGCTTCTTGTTGTCGATTCCGCTCAAGCGCGGCGGGCTGTTCAGCGGCGACACCCCGTCCCAGCCAGCTCCACATCGAGATCGCTCCAGTGGAGCGTGCTGCGCGGCCCGTGCGGCAGCATCACCGAAACCTCCCTTTATGATTTTCCCCAACACAAATTCGCTCTTGCAAGGGCGCTGTTGGACTGGAGCTCGGAATCATAGCCGAAACCCACCACAATCGAAAGCAAGCGCGCGCGTCAGCACGCGGCGAGGGACGAAAAAGCACACAGCGAGCAAAAGGGGATCGTCCGCCGCTGCGCCGCACCTGGAAACCGTTGAGGAAGAAGACAATCGGAAAGGGCGGCTTGCGATCTGGGGCATAGCCCTCGCCCGGCTTCAGTTGCGGCCGCGTGACCGTCACAGTCATGGAGCACTGCCTACCCCTGCAGCCCGTGGAGGGCTCCATGCGCATCCCCGTCTTCTGGCTCTCCCACTCGTACGGGCCGTGCTGGGTGTAGTCGTTTGCGGCCGGCGCGTACTGAGAAGCCACGAGCGCCATCGCGAATGCCAGGCGCACCAGGGGTTTCCCACATGGCACGTCGGTGACGTGCTGCAGGGGCGTGCCGCTGGTGGGCGGGCCAAAGGGGGTCAGCGGGATTCTCGGAAAGGATTGCGCGGAACAGCGTGGGGATTGGGAGTGTGCACGGCGAGGCACCCAAGCGGTCGCCAAAGCGTCCGAAGTTCTTGGGTGCGCACGGGAGCGAGTGGAGGGCGATCCAAAAGAACCTTGGCACCTACCCCCACCAGAGTACCTTCAGGGAGATAACTCGCGCAGCGAGTTATCCGCGAGCTTCCGTTTCCACCTCCTCTGCTGGTATCGACCGACGGGCGCGACAGGGGCACAGGCGTCCACAGAGGGCGAAAGCGTATGCGGACGCTAAATGTCCGAGTCGGCGCGGATGTGGCACAGACAAGGCGGCCTTTTTGAAAAAAAAGGCGCCCTTTTGGTGGCGCGGGCAGCCACGGGTTTCCATGGCGCGGCTGCGCAACAAACCAGGGTTCTTGTAGCACAGACCTTTCTGCCAACGGCGAAGCAGTGCCGCTGAAGCAGCGGGCACCACCCTTCCCCACCTCAGCCGGGAACTCATCGGACGGCAAGGCAATTGCCCTATAAGTTAAATCTCGGGGGGCCTTGCCCACCCGTTTGTAACGATACTTCGTTATGTCAGATTAACAATCGGGACGGTTTGGCGCACTCAGGGCGCTGGCCCAGCCTCAGCACTAAAACACTCAGACACACTCTTTTCCAGGCATCCTTGGAAGTCC